TGGTTCACGACCAGTTGGGAATCGCAAAAAATTCAAAGGTGTCTAGCCCCAATCAAGCATGCGGCATCCAGTGCTACTAGCAACGCCTCATACTTAGCTTCATTATTGGACGCCTTGAATTTTAATCTGATTGCCATTTCAATGATGAACCCTTTTGAGTTGACTAGCACAATACCTATCCCTGCTCCCCTTGCGTTTGAGGATCCATCAACATAAAAATCCCAAACGTCCCCTGTTAGATCCTGTGACGTTGGTGGGGCCTCAGACGCAGAGAACTCGGCGACAAAGTCTGCTAGGACTTGTCCTTTTATTGATGTTCGAGGCTTGTACCTGATTTCAAACTCCCCGAGCTCTACAGCCCATTTGGCAATCCTCCCGAACATATCGGCCCGGTGAAGGATCAGCTTGAGAGGTCGGTCTGTAAGGACGTCTATGGCATGAGCCTGAAAGTAGTGTCGAAGTTTTCTTGCCAAGATTACCAATGTCAAGATCGATTTCTCCATTGGAGAGTACCTTGTCTCGGCGTCAAGCAAGGTCTTGCTTATGAAATACATGGGTCTTTGGGCCCCTTCGCTATCCCTGACCAGTGCTCCACTCACGGCGTCCCGAGATACAGACAAGTAAAGGCTAAGCACCTCCCCTACCGCTGGAACGGATAAAGTTGGATGATGTTTCAAGTACTCCTTGATCCCTTCAAGAGCTTGATCACATTCCTCGTCCCAAAACCCCTTAGCGGCCCCCCTCAATTTGGCAAAAAACGGTTTGCACTTATCGGACGACTTGAAAATAAATATGTTAAGGGCTGCCAACATCCCAGCCAATTTTTGAACATCCTTAATGGTCCTAGGAGCCCTGACATTCTGGATTGCTTGTATCTGCTCGGGGTTCTCCTCGATTCTCCGGTGAGTAACCAAATACCCCAAAAACTTTCCTGAGCTCACTCCAAAGGCGCATTTCGAGGGGTTTAGTTTTAGGTCATACCTCCGGAGGATGGCGAATGTCGTCCTGAGATCATAGAGATGGTCGGCCCCCTCTTTGCTTTTGACCAACATGTCATCAATGTACACCTCCATCGTTTCGCGGAGCTGGTCTTTAAAAATTTTGTTCATCAAATATTGGTAAGTCGCTCCAGCATTCTTCAACCCAAAAGGCATCACTGTGTAACAGTAGATCCCCCGAGGTGTGATAAACGTTGTTTTCTCCTGATCTGATTCATGTAGGAAAATCTGGTGATATCCAGCCCGAGCATCCATAAAAGTGATACGCTTGTGGCCGGCTGTGGCGTCTGCTAGCTGATCAACCTTGGGCAAGGGGTATTCGTCCTTGGGGCAAGCCTTATTCAGGTCCGTAAAATTCACGCAAACTCGTCATTTTCCTTCTTGGCGCACACGGTATTGAATAGCCACTAGAGGAACTGTACATCCTTGATGAAACCTGCCTCTACCAACTTATCCACCCCTTCATCCACAGCTTTCGCGTGATGAGACGCCGTTCTCTGGGTCTTTTGCCTAACAGGTTTGAATGAGGAATTCATATGGAGCCGATAAGTCATCACCTCGGCAATTATCTCCGTCATCTCAGCCTGGGTCCAAGCAAAGACATCGGCATTGTAGAGTAAAAATGAGGTCATATCATTTCTCTCTGCGTCGCTGAGTGACTCTCCTATCAAAAAGTACTTCTCACCGTTATCTAGGCTTAGGAGAATCTTCACCAAGGCCTCAGTACATCGGTCGGCCGGCTCTGTAATGGGCTCGTCTATTCCCAGACGACAGCTCTGTGATTGCTATTTGGCAACCACCGCATCGGGATCACGCTCCTGACTCCGGCCGCTGACTCCCGTTTTCACCGCGACATAGAAACAACTTTTCGCCGACGCCTGATCACCCCGAATTTCCATTATGCCCTGTGGTGTTGGAAACTTTATCTTTTTGTGATAAGATGAGTGGATTGCCTTTATTGCATGCAACCACGATCTCCCCATAATAGCGTTGTAAGGGGAGTCAGAGTCCACTACCACAAATTCCACTGGCGTGGTCACCACCCCTGCCCGTACCATGAGGGTGATTTTTCCAAGGGGCAGGGCACTGGAACCGTTGAAGCTAATGAGGGGGGTTTTTACAGGTTCCAGATCCCCCTAAGATAGTCCCATCTTGCGGAAGAGGTGATCGTACATTACCTCGGAAGAACTGCCCAAGCCCACCAAGATCCTCTTGACGTCGAACTTCCCGACCCACAAAGTGATCACCAATGCATCCTCGTGGGGGAGGACCACCCCGCCGAGATCAGCATCGAAAAATTGGATAACCTCGGCACCGCTCTGCGGCTTCTTGGGCCACCGCTCATCACTCCTTTCTTCCACCCTGATTGCTTGTGAGACCCTCAGTAACTCAGCGCGAAGGGAGTTGTATGTAGGCCTCTCCACTGTACAGGCATGAATAACATCAATCACGGGTGCTACCTCAGCTGGCACCTCGGTTGGCTTCCTCGTCGACCCACCAGGACGACCTCTGTCGATAAATTCCCAGAAGTGTCCGTCTCGAACCAATTGTTCGGGGAAGGATTTATAAACATTGCAATCCTCCGTCAAATGGCCGATATCTTTATGATACGAACATCGGAATGCCGCATTCCTTGTCGATGGGTCTCCAAACATCCTCAAGAGTCACTTGAAGTAGGGTTTATTTTTGATTTTCGGAAGTATCCTGTGAATGGGCTCGTTGAAGATCGTGTTCACTCCTTAGAAGGATAGGCGAGTTGGGGGTGGAATAGGCCCCCCCTTCGGGCCGACTGCTCCCTTTCCCTTTTTCTCGGCACCGTAACCCTGCGTTCGGCCACAGCAAATTCTTCCTCCACCCGGGCATATTTGTTAATTCGAGTCATCAAGTCTTTCATGTCCGCCGAAGCCTTCTTAGTCAGCGATTTGTACAAATCAATGTCCCGGGACAGCCCCAGCCTAAATGACGCCGCGACCAATGCCTCCGAACATACTTCCGTCTCGTTCACTTCATCCTAATACTAGACGACATATTGTCGAAGTGTCTCTCCCCCTTTTCGCCTAAGCGTCAACAGAGCGCCGATGTCCTTCAGTTTATTACTGTTGGTGATGAATTGAGTTATGAAGAGCTCCGTCAATTGTTTCCAAGACCTAACGCTCTCAAGAGCAAGGTTCTCATACCACATCATGCATATGTCCCCCAAGCTCATGGAAAAAATTCGGCACAACACCTTTTGGTCAGTATCATATTTCGACATCAATTGTCTTTATTGCCTAAGGTGGCTCTCGAGATCGATTTTCCCATCATAGACTTTGAACCGTGGGATAGTAAATTTCTTCGGCATCTCGGCCTCCCTGATAGCCTAGACGAACGGTGAGATAACTTCGTCAGAGTAGACCTCAGGCTCATGGTTGCGCTGAGCAACGATGGGGGACGCTAGGGTCCCTTTTATATCTTTCTTCTCGAGGCCTTCGGGGTATGGACTCCGCTTGTGATTCGGCGGCTCCGACGCCCTTGGGTATCCCTCGGCGCAGGTCCCACCTAGACAGGCTTGCCTTCTGGCCCGATTCTTACTTCCCCTTAGAGGCCGAGAACCCTCCTTGGCGGTTACGTCCCTCGGGCGAGTGTCTAATCCAATCTTTCCTAGAGGGCCAATGCCAGGGGGGTCTAGACAGGTTCTGGCTAGGCACCTGATCCCCGAACCCGCGACTATACTCACTCGCGCTCGCTGACTGCTCAAAATCGTCAAAACGTTATTGGACCTTGGCGTTTTCCCTTTCAAGCTACTTAATGCGTTTGCCCATCGACTTTTCCACCATCTCAACGATGTCATGGGCCATGAGGTCACGCCCCCCAAGGCCCTGATCCATAAGGAGTGTTCTTTGCAAAGAATGTCCCACCTCATCTAATTGGTCCAATGAACCCGGCTCTAGAACCATTGGAAGCCGGACGGGCTCTGCGTTCCTGGCTCGTACACTTGCTCCCTCACCCTGAGATCGAGTGTTCACCATCAGACGATCGCTACCAGGAAAAATGTCTTCGTTCCCACAGACGGCGCTAAATTGCACGGGATAATTCCTGCAATAGTATGAGACAGCGATCTCCAAGCTGGCAAACCTAAAACAACAGGGTCAGAAAAAAGGGGGTCAGGCGAGCGCCCAGCTAATCCCCTCCAAAGCTTAAGTCAGTATAAGGTCGAAGGGTTTTACTCAATGGACTATTTTTCTGATTCAAGTTTGCGTTCCTTTGTCCATTTTTCTGAGGAGTATTTATATCTGAATTAGCAATGATTGCCAAAGATCTCCAGTCACATCTAGACATCTTACATCTAACACATCATTCCTCGTGCAATGAGTGTTTTCTACTCACGTCTCCTCCTATTGAATGCTAGGGAAATGGGGTAAATGCTCGGCCAAAGGCCGAGCATTTACGCCACTCCCCGAGTACCCAAATCCCCCAGATCGGCATCCGACATCAACTGAGTATTGAATACTCGGGGGTAACAGTTCCTTGGAGGAGCCGATCTCGTCGTCTCGGCACATCAGCCATTAATGCTTAGCCATCATGACAGTAGGCACAAACTCGCAGAGGGTAGGCGCTAGCAGACGCGCATTTATTTGTCTTGTCACTATCACTTATTCCGCCATAAATAAGGGGTCACATTGCATTAAATATGATGTCAGCTGTCGTACTCGACTGCTCTATGTCACCATACATCGGCTTACCTCCTCGGTGCCCTTTGAACATCCCAACGGCTTCATTATTTCACATGTTAACTCGGGGGCTGTAGAGCCACCTAGAGTCCCGCCAGTTTAGTAGTTGAGTCTAACATTTCGTAATTTAGAGGTCCCTAATTCAATCCATTCCCACATTCTGGGTCAGTCACCCTTATTTCTCAAGGACATGCTTGAGTTACACCAACCCTTAGGGTGATTAAGTGAAGTCCCTAGTTTAATCCCGTCCCATATCATAACCCTTGTTTCTCAAGAACATGTTCTAATCAATTCAAATCACAATGACAGCCGAAGAGTTTGAGAGAATAATCGATATAAGACCAAATATTTTGTTAAAAAAACACCAGAAATGACACTTAACAGCAAAACTAAGCATGGCCACAACTTTGTCCCCAGCTTTGAAACTTTTGACTCTAGCTCCGACCTCCACTACCTCTCCTGCAACATCAATGGCTGTTCCAACAACGAAAAACTTTAGTCCAAAACTAACAAACATGAAAAGCTTATAGATTTTTTACCAAAAAAAAAAACCTGACATGACTTGTGATTTGCCATGTGAACAAACTTACAAACAGGGGCGGCCCGAACTTAAGTGAGGTCCTAGGCGAAATTCTTATATAAGACCCTTCTAATTATTATTGTGATAAATTTTAAAATATTTGTTCGGTTATTTAAATATGAAAATACATTCATTTAAAAGCTTCTTTTTTTTTTGTTAAATTTGAGAAGCAAAATTATAATTAAAATTTTTGTATTTAATTTTTTTTAGCATATCGTTTAAACCGAGAAAAACCTCTCAATGTCTAATAACTAATATAATAGTAACATATTATATTTTAAGTCCCATAATAGACACCCAAGTGATGTGCCCCGTATCAATCTAGCGGTCGTAAATACAAATCTGACCTTTTCACCTAGGTCTAAAAGCTTTAATATTAAAATTTAGATTAGGAGTAAAATTGGACTTGATTGACCCTTAGGTATAAAAATTTTATTTGCTTGACTTAAAACAAAAATTAAAATTAATTACATCTAAGTGCGAAAATTTTATTTAAAGACCTAAAAATAAAATTAAAATAAAAGGTCTAACAACTATATTTGGGCCTTAAGAAAAAAAAAATGGCCTTAATATGTGTCTAAAAAATTTATATGGGGATCTTACAATAGAACCAAACTTAATTAAACATTGATCATAAAAATAGGCCTTGAAAACAAATTTAGACTTAATTGAAGCTGAATCTTTAAACTTCAAAAATAAATTAAGTTTAATTGGACATGAATTTAAAATTTTTTGGGGTCTTCGGCGACGGTTTCGATAGTCTAACTATTGGGTCAGCCTTGCTTACAAAAGTAAAATAATAAAAATAACAAAAAACTAGAAATATACACGCTTTAGAGGGTTTGGCTCCTCTCCAATTTTTGTGATTTCATTTAAAGAATGACGAGTCTCATCAACAAAACTTATCTTATTCAAAAGTAGTTTAAATTTTGAAAATTCAAAATAAATTGAAATTTTTTATTTACAAATTCAAATTCTCACCATTTCAAAGAGATTGGAGATCCTCCAATTACTTGAAAATTGGAGGAGAGCGTTAACCCAATTTACATAAATGGGTACTTCAAGGAAAAGACTTTCAAATTATTCGAGAGTTCCCGGAATTTTGAGAAAATTTTGATGAAAGACAGACGAACTCACCAGGTGTAAAAGCAAATTTGAAAGGGAAAATAGGGGGCAACAAGCCTTTCTGAACTTCCCAATCAACTGGATTTAAGCTAGTTGCTTCCACTTTTAGCAAAACTTCATCTTCACTTGGAGCAGGAGCAGGTACTTCGACATGCTGGGAGAGCCATGAAATGTTAATTCAGTTCATTCTCGCTTAATTTCCTTCCTTTTTTTGGGCTAAGTCTGTAACAATGTCGTGATTCTAAATAATATAATTTTTTTATTTATGTAAACAACCGAATGACAAATTAGGTCAATTTTGTAATTTTGTGTAACTGTTTGGTGTATTATAATGCAATTATAACTAATTGGTATAATTAATTGTTGTAATTGTGTTATTATTACGTTGGTATAACGAGTGAGAATAAGAAGAGAGAGTAACAGTGAGAGAAAATAGGGGGAGAGAGAAAATAGGGGAGAGATGAAAAAATTAAATTAAATCTTTACATATTTGAAAAGATCATAAATTATCAACGGGAGAGAGAAAAAAAAAAAAGGAAAGATATAGAGAGAGTAACAGAGAGAGAAAAAAATAGGGGAGAGAGAGTGATGGAGAAAAAGGGGGAGAGAGAGAGTGTGAAAGAATAAGAATTATGCATAATTTAAGGAAGGATAAGTAATTAAAAAAATTCAAATGTGATTTAAATTTTGTACTTAATCACAAAGTATTTTTATTAAAATTGAATATAATAGAGTAAAATATTGATCTATACATTTCCTTTCAAATAAGTCTAAAAAAATGTACAAACACCCAAAATAAACCCTGAATTAAATCTAAAGTCCAGTTCCAGTTTTATAAATCTAGAATTGAAATCGAATTTCAACCCTAGTACTAAACCCAAACTTCAACCCAAGTTGTATTTGCTGACTTGGACCTTGTTATTACCTAGTTTTGAATGAGCCTAAGACAGGGGGCCATAGTCCAATGAAACTACATCATACGTCCCGGGAGAATTTTATTTTGTATCCTAAAAAATTTAAGTATTTTTATTTTATACCCACAAAAATAAAAATTTTCATATTATACCTTCAGTGTATTACAAGTGTTCTAATGTGACCCTCCTATTATTTATTCCGTCAAAACTCACTTTAAAGAATGAGTAACGAAAACTAACAAAAGAATCACATTACAATACTTTTAATACATTGATAGTATAATATAAAAAATCTAATTTTTAAGAATACAAAATAAAATTCACCCCCGAACGTGACTTGCAAGTTTTAACTTCCAAGTGGTCAAAGAAGAATTGGTTGCACCTTTTAATTTAAATAAAATTGTTTCTTTAAATTTGTCTTTGTGTCGTACCCCAATTGATCTAATTTGATAGGTTGAAATTGTACGGGGGTATGAGTTTTGCGTATGTACNATCGTACCCCAATTGATCTAATTTTGATAGGTTGAAATTGTACAGGGGTATGAGTTTTGCGTATGTACCACAAAATGTTTCTAATGAATATTTAATTATTAAATATTATATAATATTTTTAATATTAGTGAGTCTTATTGAAGTGAACCCCAAACCTCATAGTCTGTTTGGATTACAATTTACCTAATTGCGTATTTGCCATAAAACACTTCTCGAAACGAAAGTCCATAAAAAAAAAGAAGAAAAGAATATATGAGGTCTGCTCTTTTGTCACTCGTGAATTACTAGAGATCATTCATCAAGATTTATTAGAGATAATTTGACTTGGACGATCGGTTTGAAAACTACAAACACGTTATGTTTTGATAGGATACAAAATAACGCTTGTATTAAAACGTAATACATGAACATCAACAACACTATACAAAAGGGATGAGTGGTCCCGAGAGATCAGGCCCCTTGGGCTAAAAGACAAGCAGACGATCTCGGATCCGAATAATAAATGTTGGCCAAATATACGGGGCCCAAAGATATGATGTATCGTAAAGAATGATTATTTGTACAGATAAGTAACATTGAATGACACGTTGAATACCAAAATTCGAATAAATGCATAATCTTTGCTCAAAATGTTCGAGGGGACATATACTAAATGTTCGATTTTTCAAGCAAGACAATTATTATAAGGCTAGGTCCTGAGGAGTTGCCAACCCTCCCCAAGCCTAGTAATTGCACGGTTTGAGGGGAAAGTAATTATTGATTGATTGCTCCTAAGGGGTTGCCGTCAGCTAGCTTGATGGANGTCATACGTCGCGGGAGAATTTTATTTTGTATCCTAAAAAATTTAAGTATTTTTATTTTATACCCACAAAAATAAAAATTTTCATATTACACCTTCAGTGTATTACAAGTGTTCTAATGTGACCCTCCTATTATTTATTCCGTCAAANGAAATGGGGTAAATGCTCGGCCAAAGGCCGAGCATTTACGCCACTCCCCGAGTACCCAAATCCCCCAGATCGGCATCCGACATCAACTGAGTATTGAATACTCGGGGGTAACAGTTCCTTGGAGGAGCCGATCTCGTCGTCTCGGCACATCAGCCATTAATGCTTAGCCATCATGACAGTAGGCACAAACTCGCAGAGGGTAGGCGCTAGCAGACGCGCATTTATTTGTCTTGTCACTATCACTTATTCCGCCATAAATAAGGGGTCACATTGCATTAAATATGATGTCAGCTGTCGTACTCGACTGCTCTATGTCACCATACATCGGCTTACCTCCTCGGTGCCCTTTGAACATCCCAACGGCTTCATTATTTCACATGTTAACTCGGGGGCTGTAGAGCCACCTAGAGTCCCGCCAGTTTAGTAGTTGAGTCTAACATTTCGTAATTTAGAGGTCCCTAATTCAATCCATTCCCACATTCTGGGTCAGTCACCCTTATTTCTCAAGGACATGCTTGAGTTACACCAACCCTTAGGGTGATTAAGTGAAGTCCCTAGTTTAATCCCGTCCCATATCATAACCCTTGTTTCTCAAGAACATGTTCTAATCAATTCAAATCACAATGACAGCCGAAGAGTTTGAGAGAATAATCGATATAAGACCAAATATTTTGTTAAAAAAACACCAGAAATGACACTTAACAGCAAAACTAAGCATGGCCACAACTTTGTCCCCAGCTTTGAAACTTTTGACTCTAGCTCCGACCTCCACTACCTCTCCTGCAACATCAATGGCTGTTCCAACAACGAAAAACTTTAGTCCAAAACTAACAAACATGAAAAGCTTATAGATTTTTTACCAAAAAAAAAAACCTGACATGACTTGTGATTTGCCATGTGAACAAACTTACAAACAGGGGCGGCCCGAACTTAAGTGAGGTCCTAGGCGAAATTCTTATATAAGACCCTTCTAATTATTATTGTGATAAATTTTAAAATATTTGTTCGGTTATTTAAATATGAAAATACATTCATTTAAAAGCTTCTTTTTTTTTTGTTAAATTTGAGAAGCAAAATTATAATTAAAATTTTTGTATTTAATTTTTTTTAGCATATCGTTTAAACCGAGAAAAACCTCTCAATGTCTAATAACTAATATAATAGTAACATATTATATTTTAAGTCCCATAATAGACACCCAAGTGATGTGCCCCGTATCAATCTAGCGGTCGTAAATACAAATCTGACCTTTTCACCTAGGTCTAAAAGCTTTAATATTAAAATTTAGATTAGGAGTAAAATTGGACTTGATTGACCCTTAGGTATAAAAATTTTATTTGCTTGACTTAAAACAAAAATTAAAATTAATTACATCTAAGTGCGAAAATTTTATTTAAAGACCTAAAAATAAAATTAAAATAAAAGGTCTAACAACTATATTTGGGCCTTAAGAAAAAAAAAATGGCCTTAATATGTGTCTAAAAAATTTATATGGGGATCTTACAATAGAACCAAACTTAATTAAACATTGATCATAAAAATAGGCCTTGAAAACAAATTTAGACTTAATTGAAGCTGAATCTTTAAACTTCAAAAATAAATTAAGTTTAATTGGACATGAATTTAAAATTTTTTGGGGTCTTCGGCGACGGTTTCGATAGTCTAACTATTGGGTCAGCCTTGCTTACAAAAGTAAAATAATAAAAATAACAAAAAACTAGAAATATACACGCTTTAGAGGGTTTGGCTCCTCTCCAATTTTTGTGATTTCATTTAAAGAATGACGAGTCTCATCAACAAAACTTATCTTATTCAAAAGTAGTTTAAATTTTGAAAATTCAAAATAAATTGAAATTTTTTATTTACAAATTCAAATTCTCACCATTTCAAAGAGATTGGAGATCCTCCAATTACTTGAAAATTGGAGGAGAGCGTTAACCCAATTTACATAAATGGGTACTTCAAGGAAAAGACTTTCAAATTATTCGAGAGTTCCCGGAATTTTGAGAAAATTTTGATGAAAGACAGACGAACTCACCAGGTGTAAAAGCAAATTTGAAAGGGAAAATAGGGGGCAACAAGCCTTTCTGAACTTCCCAATCAACTGGATTTAAGCTAGTTGCTTCCACTTTTAGCAAAACTTCATCTTCACTTGGAGCAGGAGCAGGTACTTCGACATGCTGGGAGAGCCATGAAATGTTAATTCAGTTCATTCTCGCTTAATTTCCTTCCTTTTTTTGGGCTAAGTCTGTAACAATGTCGTGATTCTAAATAATATAATTTTTTTATTTATGTAAACAACCGAATGACAAATTAGGTCAATTTTGTAATTTTGTGTAACTGTTTGGTGTATTATAATGCAATTATAACTAATTGGTATAATTAATTGTTGTAATTGTGTTATTATTACGTTGGTATAACGAGTGAGAATAAGAAGAGAGAGTAACAGTGAGAGAAAATAGGGGGAGAGAGAAAATAGGGGAGAGATGAAAAAATTAAATTAAATCTTTACATATTTGAAAAGATCATAAATTATCAACGGGAGAGAGAAAAAAAAAAAAGGAAAGATATAGAGAGAGTAACAGAGAGAGAAAAAAATAGGGGAGAGAGAGTGATGGAGAAAAAGGGGGAGAGAGAGAGTGTGAAAGAATAAGAATTATGCATAATTTAAGGAAGGATAAGTAATTAAAAAAATTCAAATGTGATTTAAATTTTGTACTTAATCACAAAGTATTTTTATTAAAATTGAATATAATAGAGTAAAATATTGATCTATACATTTCCTTTCAAATAAGTCTAAAAAAATGTACAAACACCCAAAATAAACCCTGAATTAAATCTAAAGTCCAGTTCCAGTTTTATAAATCTAGAATTGAAATCGAATTTCAACCCTAGTACTAAACCCAAACTTCAACCCAAGTTGTATTTGCTGACTTGGACCTTGTTATTACCTAGTTTTGAATGAGCCTAAGACAGGGGGCCATAGTCCAATGAAACTACGTCATACGTCGCGGGAGAATTTTATTTTGTATCCTAAAAAATTTAAGTATTTTTATTTTATACCCACAAAAATAAAAATTTTCATATTACACCTTCAGTGTATTACAAGTGTTCTAATGTGACCCTCCTATTATTTATTCCGTCAAAACTCACTTTAAAGAATGAGTAACGAAAACTAACAAAAGAATCACATTACAATACTTTTAATACATTGATAGTATAATATAAAAAATCTAATTTTTAAGAATACAAAATAAAATTCACCCCCGAACGTGACTTGCAAGTTTTAACTTCCAAGTGGTCAAAGAAGAATTGGTTGCACCTTTTAATTTAAATAAAATTGTTTCTTTAAATTTGTCTTTGTATCGTACCCCAATTGATCTAATTTTGATAGGTTGAAATTGTACAGGGGTATGAGTTTTGCGTATGTACCACAAAATGTTTCTAATGAATATTTAATTATTAAATATTATATAATATTTTTAATATTAGTGAGTCTTATTGAAGTGAACCCCAAACCTCATAGTCTGTTTGGATTACAATTTACCTAATTGCGTATTTGCCATAAAACACTTCTCGAAACGAAAGTCCATAAAAAAAAGAAGGAAAAGAATATATGAGGTCTGCTCTTTTGTCACTCGTGAATTACTAGAGATCATTCATCAAGATTTATTAGAGATAATTTGACCTGGACGATCGGTTTGAAAACTACAAACACGTTATGTTTTGATAGGATACAAAATAACGCTTGTATTAAAACGTAATACATGAACATCAACAACACTATACAAAAGGGATGAGTGGTCCCGAGAGATCAGGCCCCTTGGGCTAAAAGACAAGCAGACGATCTCGGATCCGAATAATAAATGTTGGCCAAATATACGGGGCCCAAAGATATGATGTATCGTAAAGAATGATTATTTGTACAGATAAGTAACATTGAATGACACGTTGAATACCAAAATTCGAATAAATGCATAATCTTTGCTCAAAATGTTCGAGGGGACATATACTAAATGTTCGATTTTTCAAGCAAGACAATTATTATAAGGCTAGGTCCTGAGGAGTTGCCAACCCTCCCCAAGCCTAGTAATTGCACGGTTTGAGGGGAAAGTAATTATTGATTGATTGCTCCTAAGGGGTTGCCGTCAGCTAGCTTGATGGAAGCCCCAAGAATGACATGTTATTACGTATAAATAGCTCAAAAACTCAAGTTTCAGATAGGCAATCAAGATAATCACAACATAACAAAACCTGATACTCTCTTTAAGCACCTATTGACTCAGTTATTTGAGGAGATAAATTGTCAGATATGTCTACGGAATGCAATCACTGGATTGGCAACGAGCTTCGTCTAATATTAGAACTCACAATTGATTTAATTATTATATTAAAATCACATCATTAGATCTTCATGCTTAATAAAAATTGTTTTACATGGATCTTATTATACAAAAAAAGCTCACATATATACATATGTAAACTAATACACAACTGATTAACCTTGGAGAATGAATTAAATCTGGACAAAGAAAAAGGTTAAACAAAAAAAAAACATATAAAAACAAACCCTATTTAAAAATAAAAAATTACTTAAAAAATCAGTTTGCAAGACTTCTGCAAAAAGCAATTAAGCATTCNACATATAAAAACAAACCCTATTTAAAAAAAAAAAAATTACTTAAAAAATCAGTTTGCAAGACTTCTGCAAAAAGCAATTAAGCATTCTGGGAGATGTATCCTAAAGCATCCTTATAGTTGTTCCAAAGATCGGCCAGCATGGTGGTAATCATGTCTGATAAACCCTCCAAAACCTCCGGAAAATCTTCCAACAACCCTTCAACTGAAGTTCTGGTCTTGTCCACAAGTCCTCCCATGGCCGACCCAGTTGCACTTAGAGATCCTATAATGGTTTCTTTGAGAAGATCAAAGGAAGTAGAGATGAGAGAACTGATAACTTCCATTACAATCTCCATCAAATACTCGAAACACGCATTGACGACATCCGCGACCTTCTCTAACGCGCTTTGAATGGTTTCTCCGGGGACTTTGAATGCTTGGATCACGAACACGAGAAGATAGGCCGTAACAGTGAAGATTAGCCGAAGAACGATGATTGATAAGGTGCTCAAGGCCATGAAAATGATCTTCAGGAGGAAAATAACCATTTTAATCGATGGGTTTGAAGTTTGAACTCTGAAGGACAAAGGAAGAAGAAGACGTGGGAAGGAAGAAATTGGAGGAGAAGAGAGTCGTTTGGTATGGAACCTTAAAAAACTACGGTTAATTTTCTTGGCGAGGTTGCTTAATGATTAATTTATATAAAGGGTTAATTACAAAATACCCTCTTGAAGTTTAGTTCACATTCAATCAAATCTCTCTACTTTTAGTTTCAATAATTTATCCCCTCAAAGTTTGAATATTTGTAAATTAAGTCAAGCCGTTAATTTTAACAGTAAAAAATGACAAAAAAATATTTATTTGAAAATCACATGATTTAAAATTCTACGAAGACACAAAATCACCTTTCATATCATTTTTGTNGAAAAATGGCAAAAAAATATTTATTTGAAAATCACATGATTTAAAATTCTACAAAGACACAAAATCACCTTTCATATCATTTTTGTCTAGAGAAGAAGAATGGGAAGCTTTTTATATGAGAAAAAAATTCGAATTCTGGATAATTTTCTCTATTCAATAAGGGAAATGCTATTTGGATTTAAAATGAAAACTTGATCAATCATAACTATTGAATAAGTAGTGAATTTTAATAAATATTAGAACACACAATGAAATCAATGACAATGATTGATTAAGTCTATATTTTAGGTTCATGTAGCACTGCTCATTCAATAAATCTGAGATCGTGTGACTTAATTTTCATTATNAAAAAATGACAAAAAAATATTTATTTGAAAATCACATGATTTAAAATTCTACGAAGACACAAAATCACCTTTCATATCATTTTTGTCTAGAGAAGAAGAATGGGGAGCTTTTTGATATGAGAAAAAAATTTGAATTCTGGGTAATTTTCTCTATTCAATAAGGGAAATGCTATTTGGATTTAAAATGAAAATTTGATCAATTATAACTATTGAATAAGTAGTGAGTCTTAATAAATATTAGAACACACAATGAAATCAATGACAATGATTGATCAAGTCTATATTTTAGATTCATGTAGCACTGCTCATTCAATAAATCTGAGATCGTGTGACTTAATTTTCATTATTTTTCATTGTTGAAATGAACAATTTGAGTTAATTGAAAAATGCATAAATTTTGAGGTGTAATTTGTTAAAATTCAAACGAGAGAGTTATTTGCAACTTAATTCAAACTTGGCTGATCTGTTTGCGTGTGGTATAATAAAAGAGTACTTGTTATCCACACATTTTACCAATTCAAAGTCACGAAGAAAGTCATTTTTAATATCAATATTCNTGTAATTTGTTAAAATTCAAACGAGAGAGTTAATTGCAACTTAATTCAAACTTGGCTGATCTGTTTGCGTGTGGTATAATAAAAGAGTACTTGTTCTCCACACATTTTACCAATTCAAAGTCACGAAGAAAGTCATTTTTAATATCAATATTCTAAGTAATTGAAACTAGAATGAGCTTTCAATATTAAGGAAAAGACTTAAAAAAATTTAGCTAATAGATTTATCTAGGGGAGTCGTTGTTGTTACTAATTGCGCGTCCCATCTCAGCATAGCGGTACACTTATTCCATTGTGTCAATAATTCCAACAATGAAAATACGAGTTATAATTCTATCTATTGATGGAATAAATTTTGGCACGGGTTGACATAGTCATGACTCGAATGAGGAGAGGTCCCAAAAAATGCTTTAGTCCAACTCTTAAGGTCCGATACCAAAATCCACTCGCAGTCTACAACAACAAAAACATAGGTCAGAGGTTCAATCGGCGGAGTGCCGGCGAAAGACTNAAAAAATGCTTTAGTCCAACTCTTAAGGTCCGATACCAAAATCCACTCGCAGTCTACAACAACAAAAACATAGGTCAGAGGTTCTATCGGCGGAGGGCCGGCGAAAGACCCTACGATGTATAAGTCAATTAAAACTAAATATATGAAACATCTATATAATAAAACATGACTTATTTTAAATCCTTTAACTTAGTTTAACACCAGAGAGATTGAGATTCGCCCAATTCAATAACTCAAAACCATCATCAAAAAAGTTTCTCCCACATTAGATTATATTTTTTCACGCTAATCAAGGAATTATTTCTTCGAAAGTTAAAAATTTCACCTATCCCATTCCATTNAATTAGATTATATTTTTTCACGCTAATCAAGGGATTATTTCTTCCAAAGTTCAAAATTTCACCTATCCCATTCCTTTCATCTTAAGAGCATCTCTAATCATAACTCAAATTTTTTACTCAAATTTAATTAACATTTAAATAAAAAGTTTGATTTGATATAAAGGACTTCAATGGACAAACTCAAATTTAAAAAATGAGAGACTCAAATTTAAATTAGGGCAAACTCAAATTTAAAAGGGAGTAAGGATGACAATTGGATTTTTAAAAAATGGTGAAATCTCACAATTAAATATTTGAGTAAAGATTTGAATAAAAAAATAAGTTTCTCTTGATTTGGTATAAATTTGAATTAAGGGTTGGAGCAAGTGTTTTTAGAGCTTTTTACTCAAATTTAAATTTGAGTCTAAATTTGAATAAAGGTTGGGGATGCATCAAGGTCAAACAAAGTCTTCCCTCTCCCAATTTTTTTTTTAAATGGTGGGACAAGATTGATTTTAAATTATGTAATTATAAAAAAAAAAGAAAAGAAAATTTAAACTATTATTTCATATATTTATACTACACGACTGATGTTTGATTTATTTTTGTTACCCAATACTTTTAAGCATGAGTTATTCCTATAGATATAATAAAGAGATATTATGGGTTTTTTTTTTTTTTTTTGGGGTCCAAGGAAATATGTGGGTTTTGAGAATGGTTTCTGCATATCCCACAATCACAGCAAGAAGTGTAGTGGATTATCCTTTGTCTATTTGATTTTTTTCTCATTAGATGGTTGCATCATGTCAGCGTGATAAGATAGTGCAACCGTAACACCCAATATTTACTCTGAAAAAAGAGAAGAAAAATCAAGTTTTCTTTAAAATAATGAAAAATTATGTCCTGAGCCCTGTTTAACGTGGGTTTGCCGTACGCCATTTAATAGCAATACAACAAATATGAGGTCAATATCAAGTTTTTAGAAATTCATATTTCTGAACATTATCTGTATGTTATGTTGATTTCAAGGGATCCCAACTTTATTTTTTTGATTTGTTATTTTTTCTTAAATAAATCTTGACTGGACCATAAATTAAAAATACTGCTGGACGAACAAAAAAAAAAATAGAGTCCAATTGATATAGAGTTGACATAATGGGCAAAAATATTAAATTAAAAGATTAAAATGAGAAAAAAAATANCGAACAAAAAAAAAAATAGAGTCCAATTGATATAGAGTTGACATAATGGGCAAAAATATTAAATTAAAAGATTAAAATGAGAAAAAAAATATATATTATTATCACAACAACGTCAAATTAAGGGAAACTTAAATTCATACACAAATCTTTAATGATAAGATTTCACAATTCCTTACAGATCCAAATGCCACTTTTGACTCTATTTTAAATTTGGGTATGTTCTCATTTAAATTTGGGTTTCTCTTCCTTTAAATTTGAGTTTTTCCATTCAAAAGTTTTATAGCAAATCAAGCCTTTTATCTTTTTTTATCACTCAATTTGGGTGAAAGTTTGAGTTTCCATTGGAGATGGTCTAATAAATACTTTTGGTTTGAAGAGGTGAAGAAAACTGTAATTGTGTGCATTTCTTGATGCAAATTCTACACGCTGCAGTCCTTTTCTTTTTTCAACTGTCAAAGATGTTTAGATTAGTTATGTACACTTCGATAAATTTTTCCTTGGTTCGATNATTGTGTGCATTTCTTGATGCAAATTCTACACGCTGCAGTCCTTTTCTTTTTTCAAATGTCAAAGATGTTTAGATTAGTTATGTACACTTCGATAAATTTTTCCTTGGTTCGGTCAAATACAAACCATCTATATTAGGACTAGGGTATTCATGAGACTTCATGAGGCTCAAGTCTCAATAAGTTCTCACAATTCGAACTCAAGACATCTGAATTTATAATTCATCCTATTACCACTTGAGTTACCTTAAGTTTTCACTCTCTAGTCTCTTAACAAGTCGGACGCTAACTTCTCTCTCTCTCTCACNGGTATTCATGAGACTTCATGAGGCTCAAGTCTCAATAAGTTCTCACAATTCGAACTTAAGACATCTGAATTTATAATTCATCCTATTACCACTTGAGTTACCTTAAGTTTTCACTCTATAGTCTCTTAACAAGTCGGACGCTAACTTCTCTCTCTCTCTCACACACACACACACTTGTAATGGGATCAAGTTGTGTTGCTCATTCATCTCCACTCTCATAACCCCTCTTCTCTCTTCCCTCTCACTTTGTTCTATATCGACCTCCACTACCCTCATCTCCACCTCCCATCAACACCCATAACCACAACCTCACCAAAACCCAACCCTAGAACCAAAACCCCACTCGAAAAATAATTCAAAAATGTGGATCCAAAATCTCAAACCCAGGTTTAACCCATCGAACATCAACAAAGCCTTGTGTGCCCAATCAGACCCAAATCTCGCCCTCGGCATCTTTTAATGGACCACCCAACAACACAATTACAAGCACGACCACACCACTACCTCACCAAGAGCCAAATCGCCATCCTCAATAAGCTAACTCGTGACGCCGAAACCTTAGTACAAAAAGTCAAACCTCTTTTGCTTGCCAGGCCAACCTTCTTATTTACAATTACATGATTAAATTTTGTTGTGACTAGGAATTTCTATTTAATCAAGCATTCGATGTTTATAAGAAAATGCTGAAATTCGATACGAAACCTTCATTAGAACCTACACATTGTTGTGAATTCACTTCTCAGGAAATTCAATAAGTTGAATGTTTCTTATGTGTATTTGCATGCAGTAAGGTCGTTGAATAAGCAATTGAAGGCTCTAGGGATTATATCGGATACATTTGCGTTGAATATGATAATTAAGGCTTAAAATAAGTGTCTTGAAGTAGATGAGGCGATTTAGGTTTTTCGTGNTCGGATACATTTGCGTTGAATATGATAATTAAGGCTTAAAATAAGTGTCTTGAAGTTGATGAGACGATTTAGGTTTTTCGCGAAATGGATTTGTATGGATATTAACTGAATGATATACCTATAGCTATTTAACAAANGAAATGGATTTGTATGGATATTAACTGAATGATATACCTATAGCTATTTAACAAAGGGTTTGTGTGAGAAGGGGAGGGTGAATAAGGTTTAGGGTTTCATAAGAAGATGAGGGAGAAGAGGTTGGTGCCAAAATTGGAATACTTATTATGATTTTGATTTGTAGTCTTGCTATGGAACGGAGATTTGATGATGCATCTCCATCATCATCTGAAACAAATTCAAGTGAAAGGCCACCTCGCATAAAGAGTTTGCGAGATATATATGAGGAATTGAAGAGGTAACTCAAAAATTTAGTGATCTAACACTTGTTTTTCTATTGGCCAATTGTGATCTCATAGGCTATGAGAAAGCGGCACACGACAAGAAATGGAGAAGTGACATGAATGAAGAAATTAAAGTTATTGGAAGAAATGGAATATAGAAACTTGTCACACTCCCTAGAGGACGTAAATCCATTGAAGTGAAGTGGGTATACAAGACAAAGAAGAATACTAAAGATGAAGTGGAGAGGTATAAGCCAAGATTGGTTGCAAAAGGTTATAGTCAAAGACCGGGTATTGACTATGATGAAATAGTTGTCTCCATTGCTCTTTTTGGAAACAATTAGATTGATTATTTTTTTAGTCGCTCTAAATGGTTAGAAAATTCACCAAATGGATGTGAAGTCCACTTTTTTGAATGTTTTCTTGATGAAGAGGTATATGTTGAACAACCATTGAGTTATGTTGTGAAAGGACAATAAGAGAAAGTCTTAAAATTGAAGAAGACATTATATAGCTTGAAGCAAACCCCAAGGTCTAGGAATAGTAAACTTAATAAAGTACCTTCAAGTAAATAGTTTCACAAAGTGTCCTAATAAACATGCTCTTTATGCAAAGTTGAATGAAAATGACAATATACTTTATGCTTGTTTGTATGTGGATGGTTTGATCTTCACAAAAAATTGTCTAAGAATGTTTGAAGAATTTAACAGAGCAATGATAGAATTTGAGATGATTGACATTAAGCTCATATCATACTAAATTGGCATTGAAGTTAAGAAAATGAAGGAAGCTATTTTTATCTCTCAAGAAGGTTATGCTAAGGAAATTTTGGTAAAATTCAATATGCAAAATTGTAAGCCAGTAGGTACACTCGTTCAATGTGAAATAAAATTATCAAAACTTGAAGATGGAAAGAATGTGGATTCTACATATTTGAAGAGCTTAGCTGGAAACTTGAGGTACTTTACATGTACAAGGCCAGATATTCTCTTTGGTGTTGGTCTTGTAAGTCGCTACACATGTAAGCTCCTACAATGACTCACTTTAAAGCGGCGAATATAATCCTTCAAAGGTACACTTGATTATAAATTGTTATTTTTTTTTCTAACAATTCTAAACTTGTAAGCTTTTGTGATAGTGATCGGGCCAGAGATGCGAAAAACATAAAAAATACTACTGCATTTGTTTTCCTCATAGGAAATACCATGTTTGATTGGAATTCAAATAAAATTATATTGCTGATATTTTCACCAATCCCCTCAAAAAATATGTATTTTGTAAATTGAAAATTTTGCTTAAAGTTGAGAAGAAAATCATGCTCAAGGGAGGACATTGAGAAAAATAATAAACATGACTTTTCATATTTATGAGTTATATTGTATACATTTAGGACTCGTTTAGTTGCAATATTAAAGATGGATGAATTGGATTGAATTGGATAAAAGAATCTAGTCTAATATAATACATATAGACAAAATACAAGATTAAATGAAGTATCAGAATAATACATAATTTTATCTAGTATTTAACATACACAACAGATAGCGTTGGATATCAGTTATTTAGTCTAATCCGTTATTTGGTTAGAGAATTATGTCATCATATTAATATTGAATATCCTCAATTAATTCTAACGTGAGTTAAAGTGTTTGTTACGTTGACGACAACTTGGTCTTATCAATTATGAGATTATAATAGTAAATGCGTACAATAATACGTTTGAGTTAGATTATAATATCACATCTCTTAGTAGTATTAAAATAATTTCATAATACAAGTCTATCGTACAAAAACATACAACAAAAATACGATTAGTATATATTTTTGAAATTAATACGAAATCAAATTTATTTACCAAACAAAATATTAGACTCGATTAAATTAATAATAGTATAATACAATATTTAATTCACTCATGATACTATCAAACGAGCCCTTAGTTTTTGTATTAATGGGTCATGAATTTGCTAATAATGAGGGACAAAAATAAATATATTATGCTAATTCTCCTAGTAATTGAGTAGTGAGTTCTTTATTATTTTTATTTTACATTATGTAGTGAAATTTTGTTATATGTCATTAGAGTTTATATATATAATACACCTATTTGAATATGGGTGAATTGAAAGAGTTTTTGTTTCAATGTAAGCCTCTTCCATTATATTTGTATGAGTGATAGTCCTCTTAATTCCAAAAATTTTCACTCACCCCATTCCCTGGCAACAACTAAATAATAAAATCTATCGTCCTAGAAACCAACTACTTTTTATAACACAGCCTTGCATGGACGTTTATTGTAGTTTGGTTGGTGAAAAGACCATTTATTTTTTTTTTGTTTTATTTTTTCTCACAAGTTGTTCAAACTACTCTCTTAAATTTAACAGCCGATTATCATAGCTTGTATTGGATTAGAGTGTGTCTCTTAAGGGACAAACATAGCTATTCCTTAAAACGTGTGAGAAGAAATTAAATTTAAAACTCTTAAATTACCAAAAAAACAAGTCCAACCACTAGACCACCGCCGAAGATTATCTTTTAGTCTACTTCTATTTCTATTGCTGACAAAGGCATTTAATTTTCTCTGTTGTTGGATTTGTCATCAAACATATAGTATACATGGATCATCACAGCATGTCTAGTACGAAGTCAACCCCCCATGACCCTTTTACATTGTGAAATTTTTAAATGGATTTCATTTTGTGCGACAAAGGTGAATCTCCTATGCAATACTTCCTTTGAATCAGTGACATTTTACACCTCCTTGTATTCGAGAAATCTACATATACCTTTTTTGGTAGTTTTGGAATAAAATGTAACAAACTATATTCACAAATTTAGTATAAAAAGACAATAATATCTTTTATCTTGTATAACATATTATTATTTTTTTTTCTTTCTGAAAATGCTATACAACTTGAAAAACCTGCTTAATGGGTCAAAATGGAAGAAAGAAATAGAGATTGATGTATTTTAGAAGAAAAATAAAATAAAATATTTGGTTTTGTATAAACATTGATTTTAATAGAATTTGTAGTGGTTTCACTATTTGGGTAGAAAATCATAAGGAGCTAAATTTAGACTAGTAGATTGTTGAGAGAGAATATATTAGCTCATTTATATTGCTACCTCAAACTCTAGGGAGGTAATGTGTAATTTGTATATCTATATCTCATTACATTACTTGTATCATAAAGTTTGGTTCTGATATTGCTTTGTTTCTATTCAATATGTCCTATCCTCCAGTTATACATCCTCCAGCCCTACGTGTTCATCTGAAACTCTCAGAGAGTCTCACCCCGTTTGGATAACAAAGTAAGCAATCAAATGATCGACATTAGCAAACACACGTAGCGTCCTTGCTTTCTTGATATTGATAACTAATGATCTCTCATCCTCCTAGTGAATGCAAGCAATTAAAAGGATAGGATTAATATTATTTTTAGTCCTTAAAATATATATTTTTTATCAATTTAATCCTCATTTTATTAATTTAGTTCTTAAAATATTAAATTCGTATCATTTTAGTCCAACAGACCGTTAAATATCTTTTCGAAAGTGATCACGTATTATTTTTTTAAACGGTATCACGTACCTAACAAGTGATTATTCCATCAAAAAATTTAACGATCCGTCTATGTAAATACCAAAATGACACAAATACTTTAAAATACCAAGTTAATAAAATTAATACAATAAAAATTAAACTAACAAAAAAAAATACATATTTTATGAATCGAAGTGTTATAAACAAAGGAATATAATTTCAATAATATTATTCCAATTAGTAAAAGAATAGTAGTTCCCACAATGATATATCGAAATCTCTATTTTTTTTCATTCATCCTAAACAGGTGCAAGGAGGGACAGTACACCGGGAAAGGGAAGGAAAAGAGATAAGGGAAGAGGCCAAAAAACAAAGGGATTTGCTGTTGGTATTGGGGCAAAAAGAACGTTCCCTAATGTGTGATGCTTCAAAA